CTCTTGATGTCACCACTGTTGAGGCAACACCAACTGCCACTTAGGGCATTTGTACAGTGCCTCTGGGATTCAGAAAGACATTTTGGTGAGACTGAGAAAGCTACTTGGGGAAGAGAATGGACATCCTAGAGAAGAGAGAGAAGCAGAAGGAAGCTGGTCATCTGTCTCAGGGTAAACATCAAGAACTAAATATTCCAGGGGAAGGTGCAGTCAGTTTTGTGCAGGGGATGGGGAGCTCCCTGGAGGAGGTAGGCCTTGAGCTGGGCCTTTCAAGAATGGGACTCAGCAGCTGGGAGACTCTGGGAAACAATGTGCCTATCCTGCTTCTCTGGGTTCCTAAATAGCAGACACAGAGAGGAATTTCTGAGGTTTGTTTGGCAGAGATCCAGGAATTATCAAGTCTGCAGTTACTGTGCTGGGGGAGCTCCTTAATTTCATTCAGAGTGGAAACAGGGCATCAAGAGGCACAGGATGATAGATGAGGGATTCCTGTCAGAATAAAATGCTGCTGAAATTCATAACAACTGTTAGTTCCCTTCTTTCTCTGTGTAGTTTCTGTCTGGCAGACCTGTCCATTGGTGATAATTGGGTGTTGAAGTCTCCCACTATCAGTGTGTGTGGCTTGATATGTGATAGAAGCTTTAGTAATGTTTCTTTTATAAATATGGTTGCCCTTGTGTTTGGGCATAAATGTTCATAATTGAGACTTCATCTTGATGGATTTTACCTGTGATGAATATGAAATGTTCTTCTCTATCTGTTTTGATTAATTTTAGATTGAAATCTATTTTGTTAGAGATTAGGGTAACAAAACCACCTTGTTTCTTAGGTCCGTATGATTGGAAAACTTTTTCCCAACCCTTTGCTCTGAGGTAATATCTGTCTTTGAAGTTTAGGTGTGTTTCTTGTATGTAGCAGAAGGAGGGACCCTATTTTTATATCTATTCTGTTAGCCTGTGCCTTTTTATTAGTGAATGATATGAAGAGATATTAAAGACCAGTGATTGTTTTTCCTGACATTTTTGGTTTTGGTGGTAGTGGTGATGGTGTATATGTGTTTCCCTTCTTTGAGTTTTGCAGGTATGAGATTATGTATTGCCTGTGTTTCCGTGGGAGAAGCCTACTTCCTTGGGTTGGAGTTTTCCTTCTAGTACTTTCTGTAGGGCTTGATTTGTGGAAAGGTATTATTTAAATCTTATTTTGTCATGGAATATATTGTTTTCTCCATCTATAGTGATTGAAAGTTTTTCTTGGTGTAGCAGTCTGGGCTGGCATCCCTGGTCTCTTACTTAGTGTCTGCAAAATGTCTGTCCAGGACCTTCTGACTTTCAGGGTCTCCATTGAGATAGTGGATGTAATTCTGATAGGTCTGCCTTCATGTGTTACTTGGTCCTTTTCCTTTGAAGCTCTTAATAGTCTTTCTTTATTCTGTATATTTGGTGTTTTGATTATTAGTGGTGAGGGAACTTTTTTAGTTCAGTCTATTTGGTGTTCTGTAAGCTTCTTGTATCTTCATAGGCAAGTCCTTCTTTATGTAGGGAATATTTTCTATGATTTTGTTGAATATATTTTCTGTTCCTTTGAACTGAAATTCTTCTCCTTCTTTTATCCCTAATATTCTTAGGTTTGGTCTTCTCAAGGTATCCCAGATTC